GTGCATTTGGAGCAACTGTAGCTGAAAGGATGATACAGAAAGAACAGATCTTTCTTAGTGTTGCATGCTATAGGAGGGGAGACAGTACTGTTCATGAATATCCACAACAGTGACTTTTAAAGAAAACACTTATTTCTCCTTACCCAAAGGAAGAAGATATACTATTTGTACATGGTAGCACAATTTGACCATTGCCAACAAGAAGCAGAATATGAAGTGAAAACATAATTTTATTTTAATTGTCTTGGGGATAAAAGTGAAATCTAGGCTAGCAGAATTGAAAGGCCACCAGATCATTGTGTCCTTTAGCAGGGATTGTTACTCAGTGTACTTGGGAAAAGCAAGTTGAATTCTTTTATACTTGTCACGTGCAATGAACAGAGACTCATTTTTTGATCCTAGATAATTAGAATTGTCTAGTTTGTCTGTGAAAAAAATGTTATTTAAATTGTGGCATCCTTTAGCATAGAGATATTGCATTATATTTGCTGATCTGAAAATCTCTCTTTCATCTAAAGAGATTAAAGATCCACTATTTGAAAGGCATGCTTGTCTGATTTGTTCTGCGCATGCTGTGCTTATCCAGAAGGGATTATCTGTAACCACTGACACAGAGTAATACTGCACAGTGAGAGAAGCTATATTGACTCCAGAGATTTTCCCAAATCTCTGGAGAGATCTGAGCAGAAATTACCATTTTTTAAATTATTTTTTTTTTAGCCAATCATAGTGCTTAGAGATAATGTGGGTTTTTTTTCTTCTGCAGAATTTATAATTAGATACTAGACAAATATGGAGAATAAACAGCAGAAAGAGATGGAAGTGAAGCAAGTAAAAGGTTTTGCCAGTATCGGCACAGGCTCCCTGTTGTTTATTTTCTTTTTGGTTTTAAAACTAGGAGAAGACAAATGGGACACGGCAGTTAATACTGCTGATAAAAGAGAAGGCTGGACTGTGACTTGATCATCATAAATGTCTTGAAGAAAAGAGAAATAAGTGTGCAGTTTGTGTGCAGTTTGTAGGGTGGAGGGAAAAAACACATTTCTTGAGTTCTGTCTGCACATCATTCTTTTTTAATGTAACTATTGTCTTCAGACGTAATGGTATCTTTGGGATTATTCTCTGCTTAAAATGGTAACTGCTGTAAAGTGCTGTAAACTGTTTTGGGTCAAACAACATTTATAGTGTAGAGGTGGTTGGATAAGTTTTAAATAACTTTTTTTAGTTATTGTGAGTGATCTGGGCAAGACTCTGGAATTTGTCAAAGGTCACTAGAAGATGTTACTGTGGTTCTGGAGTATATGCAAATTCATTTAAAGCCTGTTCAGGAATTTTACCTGGAGCATATCCTTTGGGAATGGAAGGAGGAGTTTGAGTCCTTTAGACCCAGCATTGCCTCTTTGCCAGGCTGAGCTGAATACTGCTCACTGAGCAATACAGCAATTATTCTTCTGATCTGCCTTGCCCTGAAGAGTTTTGGGATGAACAAGGGAGTTGTAGAAGTGCCTGTCTAGACTACACTGAGACAGCACTTCTGATACACTTCATTTGTATGCCTAAGTGTTAACTATAGCATTCAGCTTAATTCAGGTGACGTGTAAATTTAAAAGCAAAATCTAGCAGAATAGGAAAGTAAATATCCATTTCGGTGTTTGTGACTCTCCTGTTTTAGTTCACAGTTCTGTCTTTGTAGTTATATGACCAATCTTATCTAACCAAATGCAGCGGTCATTCAGCTACATAAAATAACTGTAATATCGAGTTGAAAGTAACCAGAAGGTTGCAGAACAGCATGGTATCAATAAATCTGTTACATTTTGCAGGGATGAATACATAACTTGAAAGGGTTCAGTGTATCATTACTGGTCACCTAAGTACCAGTAGCAGTATCAGCTCTTCGAATTTGCATGAAATCCTGACCTTACTGGTATTCTTCCACTGTATCTCAGAGAAACTTTTTTGTTGATAGCAAATAATACTGCGGGAGGATAGGAGAAAATATAGAGCTGTATCTAAATGTATCTAAAAGATCAGATTTCTGCTGGTCAGCCCTTGTTTTGCAGTTTCTTCTTATGTAACTGAAATTTTTGGGTGGAGGAGGAACTCTGCTATACTTAAGTGGAGGTCCTGCACTACTTTTCAGCAGATCCTCTATATTTTGTATGCAACTTCTGAAGCATTGTTTTGGGATGTAACATATACTGTTCTAATTGGTTTCAACTGACAAGAAAAAGATGTTATGGTGACTGTTTCTTTAGGAAATTATAACATTTTGTCTTTATAGTTATGTGTTATTGTTCAAAAAATTTTACATATGGATGCCTCATTAGTTCACCAGAGATGCTTTTTAATGTAAATTTGTTTTATTTTTGTTTATAGCTCTAGGAATAGTCACATAGGTCATCAGCAGGAGAAGAATGTGAACCTGAAACTTCACATGGAGCAAAAATTTGAGAACTGGAAGGAGAGATTGATGTCAGAAATGGGTATAAGAATGTTGGAGAAACAATGTGGTATTGCTGCAGTGCCATCTAGCAATCCTTTTTTCAGTTTTATTTTTTTTAATTAGCGTGTTCTGGTTTAACATTGCTATAGTTGTATAAGCTTTTATTTTTTTCCTATTTTTTTCTAAAAATTGATTATATTTATAATTACAGATTATGCCCTGCTTGTGTAGCAGCTGTTGCTTTGCTTGTCTGACAGCTGCCCCTTGTATGGAACTGCTAAGAATGTGTTTAGTAATCTGAGATTGTGTAAGATTATTTTATGTAGACAGCCCACTGCTAAATTCGTTAACCTTGAAATTGCAGGAAAGGTCAGCATGTAGAAAGCAGAAGTATACTTAAGCAAGATGGGTAAATACACGTTTTTTATCATGCTCCTAATTACAAGGCTTTTTTTCCCCCTTCTGCCTCTTATATTCCTGTCATTTCACCATAAAAGGATCATTTTACTAACAGTGAAATTTGACCTTCAACTGTGATACCCTAGGGTAGAATTATACGACCTTTCTATATATTACAAACTTTAAAGGGCAACAAAACCTCCTTTCTCTGTTTTTGTATAAAAATGTATTGGATATTGAAATCACTTCTACATATTTACATATGAATGTGTTTAATTGGCCTGTCAACCAAACCAATATATAATATAAATGAAGTGGTATTGTTGGACAGTTGTGTCTTGCGCCCAGCACCTGCTGATCTATGTCTTGCTGCCCTCAGTCCTGCTAAAATAACCCAGCTTCATCCAGGGCTCTCTTACCCGTTGGTTCCCCAAAGGCAATTTATGAACGTACCCAAAGAAGTATGAGCACTGCTCACCTGAGCAATTCTAGAGAGCTGGCTTGGTTGTGCATTGTGTGGTTGAACTGTAACAATAAAGCTGATTAGCTGCTGTCTGCAAGCACGAGGGTACAGCATCTTATATGCACGATTTCTCTTATCCCACTGGAGGAGGAAAAAAGTTATCTCCATTGTTTATGTTACAACTAAAGAAGCACATCTTCCGTGCTTGTCATTGGATCTCCCTTTAATCTTACACATGATGTTGCATCAATTAGCCAAAATCCCTTGTGATCTCATCCTCTTGTTTTCAAATTTCAGTTGTGACTTATCAACTGAACTTGTCAAAGTAGTATCTCTCAAACACTTTTTAATACCTTATCAGTTTAGCCACCTGAATGGCCGCTCACTGCAACAGTTTAGTTTTCTGGAAAATCCGTGGCTTCTTTATGAACAGTTTTTCATACACTTACAAAACACAGGCGTTGTGAAGCATGAGTGGCACACTTCATCAGTGGTATCTTTAGTGGTGTTTCCATGTGTCGGAATAACTTGCAGTATTGCTTTGGAGGAATTTCACAGCAGAATGACCATTCTGTAGTATTGTTCTTACTTGGGATTGAAATGTAAAGTCCTCTAACAACAGATTTTTGTTTTCCCAAGAATGACAAACCACATGACTGTTTTGATTCTTTTCATTTAAGTTAAAATTCAGGGAACAGGGTGGGGAGGAAGAAGTTTTTCCCATAACTTCCTGTCTCCCAGCAGCCCTTTGTCACTTTCTCTCCAGAGCAGAAAACATGGTAGTATTTTTCTAACACCTCTTCATTAATGCTTCAGTTTCCTAGCTCTTTAGTAGTTCTGCAAGTATACAATTTAAAAGCCTCTTGACTGCAGCCAAAACTTTCCTTTCTAATTGTAGTGAATTGTTTTGCTTACCTTAAACAATTAGACTAGTGAATACAAGTCTCTATAATGTACCTTTAATTTTTTTCATGTGATTTGTTAGTGACCACTTTTTGTACTGTTTCTATTGGCATTCTGCAAAAACAGAGGGGAAACAGTTAAATGTTTATCACCACTAGTTCCATATTTATATGCATGTGTACATAAGAAGATGGATGTCCTAACTGCTTGTAGTAGACTGTACATAATAAACGATATCCCTTTATTCATGTGCTTATAATCTAAACTTCACTTCTGTTAGGTATATTTAAAATTTTCCTTGAAATTGTGGCAAAAAAAAAGTTGAAATAATTTAATTTGGTTTCTTTTTGTATAGCTCAAGACTGTTCTGCCCCATTTGCTGAATGAAATGTCCCGTTTAAAAAAATAAAGAAATGGAAAATACCCACAACTTTTAGCACTGGAGAGAGATAGCACTTTTCTGCACCTCTAAAAGTTTAAAATGAAGTTCAGTTATTTCTGTAATGCCTAGTCTTTGACGTATTACAGATACTCAGATGGCTTTAAAGGAATTGAACTTTAATGTCTGTAAGATGGTGGTTTTTTTCATAAAATGAACTTTTTTTTCTCCTTTCTCCCTGATAGTTATGGAATCAGATCTTATTTTGCAAAGGATACCGTTTGTCTGACGTGTTTCTTTAAATTCCCCTTTGCTGTACATACCATATTAGGGTGTGTACAAAAAACACCACAAAACATCCTTGGTTATTCATTCTGCTTAAATCAACAGGTTTTCTCTGTGTATCATAGGTATAAGCAACAACTGTCTCTTGGAGCTGAGCAAGAATGGATTCTAGAACAGGGTAAAATGCAAACAGAACTAAACTGGCAGCACCTCTGTGAGAATGCTGAACATAATCGATATCAGAAATCAGAGGATCTAACACAAAGCCTGTTTTCATCAAGAGAGGAGGTGAGAATTTCAAATTAACAGTTTCAGAATCATCTGTTGCAGAGAGACCTATGGAGTTTTTCCACCGTGGTGTTTCTCGGGGAAGTATGACTTTGATCTTCTTTCAAAAATATGTAAAATAGTAATTCTGTATTAAGCACAGCAGTTCATCACACATATTTGATCAGAGACCAGATTAATTTTCATAAACATTCTCTAAAGTGGCCTTTTCTCCCTTTTCGTGAAATCAAGTCATCTTGAGAGATGTCACTGCTTTTCTCTTGCCATTGTAGCAAAAGAAGAAAGATCCCTCTTAGAGCAGCCCCAGGCCAAAAAGGATTTCAGATCACAGTACCACTTGAATTCTATTAAGGGAACAATATTAGACCTGGAAAACTCTGAGTATTTTTGTATGGGGGAAAAAAATCTATTTTGTGTAGTACATAGCTTCTGTTTCTGAAAAATTAGATACGTGTTTGTTGTTTAGAGACTATTACACAATGGGCTATCAGCTCTCAATGCCAGATTGCCTAGTAAACTCATGGGTACAGAAAAAACACTTGTTTATGAAGTTTAGAATGCAGGCATTTACTCTGGTGTTATTTTATCATTGTCTTTCAAAAATGATTCATAGGCATCAATAGCTGCAGCATAGGAACACATGTGAGAGATGAATCAGCATTGTCCATTTCACATAAAGATTAGACAATGGAGCTAAATTATTTGTCTGTGAAGGCAGTTTTTGACAGAGCCAAAAGGAATGTGCTTAAGTCCCTGTGCTATGATTTGAAATATCTTTGATTTTTTCTTTTTTTTCTTCCTTTTTCCTTTTCTCCTCCCTTTCCCTTACTTTCTTTTCCTTTTTCTTTTCTCCATCCCTTTGTCCTTGAGCTACTGGCATCCTCTGCTTTTCATCCTTTCACTCCTTCCTGGTTTGAAGCTGATCTACAGAAAACAGACTGCAGGTTGCATGAAGTGAAGACTCTTCTTTCTACTTTGACTGTTGAGAAAGAACAGACAATATAAGCATCATTTAATCACAATATTTTACCTGAAGGGGGGAAACAGGTTAGACAACACTTATCATAGACACTAGTGTAGACATTCTGAAATGACAACTTTATGAGCCTTGTTTCCACTGGATTTACTGTAAGCAGTTCATCAGTTTCATATATATAATTCAAAATATTGTCATATCTAGCCTGGAATACACATAGATTAGATGTCACAGGCTCAATTATGGCTCTCATTTATTAGTCACTGGCAAAAGGAGCAAGCTGGATGTAGACAGTTGCTCCAAAACATGACAATGTAGTGTACCATCATGGCACATCAGAATGGGAAGAATTAATTTCTGGAATGTTCCTGAGGCTCTGTGTCAGTTGCAGTTCAGGGTAGATTTTAAAGTTGTAAAGTTAAAATTTTAAGGCAATGCTTCAAAATACTAATATGCCAGCTGTATAAAATAATGTCTTATATTTTAGTATCACAATTTTTCCTTTCATTGCTACCTATTAAAGTACGTACATTTTAAAAATGCATTCAAAATTGCAAGCGTAATGCTGTTTTGAAGCCATGCTGAAGGATAATGCATTATAAGTAGAAAATTGTCTTTCGTAGATAAACAACAGTAAAGAGTGTGCTGCAGTGCACTCTGCTGGGCAGCTACACGTGCTCAACAGTGAGCAGTTCAGAGCGTGTTACCAGAGCTTGCTAAGAAAAAGCAGTCTTAAGCAAGCCTAGTAGTTCCTGAATGCAGGAAGTGTTGTATTCAGAAAGATACTTTCTGAAGACAATTTTTTATCATAGACAAAAGTAGACTGTTAGCAAAAACTTGCTGTGGAGCTAGTTGTTTTTCCAATTTCATTTCAAGCTGTACTGATTTGCAAATTGATCATTGAGAAACCAAAAGAAGCAAGGTTGGGCAGGGGGTTTTTAGCTGTTTGCATTCGCTGTTGTCTTCAACTGTTGTTGGCAAGACTTTGTTTTCATTGTCACACTTTTCTTTCTGTTGTTAAAATACTCTGGTTTTTGCACTTTTGGCCTGTAGGATAAGCAGTACCCATCTTAGCAAAAACTTCTTTGATTTCTGTTTTATGGGAAGGGCCAGTGTTTAAAAAACTAAATAACAAAAAAAAGTCTACTATTCTGAAGAACCTTTTCCTGTAATTTTTCTATACAAAATGAAGTGTAGTAGTCATTCTCAACCTTTAATTAAGCAACAGAGATGTGAAACAGCAGTGTGGAAAATCTTGCTTATAACTGATTTTTTAGTATGACTTAGGTCATATTTGTTTAACTAGACCATGCTGATAATACCATAGGAATGCACAGATAAGGAAAGACTGCTTACAGTAATCCTGGTTTATTATTTGGTGTTCTCTCTAGACCCTTTTCCACTTACAATAATCTGGAACAGTTGTATTTCTGGTTCAAACTGTGATAGTTCATGTTTATGTTGCAGGTTGAGATGAAGTCCAGGGCCCCAAAATTCAGAACACATCTGGGAGATGTATTGGTACCTCCTGGTGCCTTTCCCCTCCTCACCTTAACAACCTCGGAGAGATTGTAAAAGTGGAATAAACTATCTTCATCTTCTACATACCCTGTACTGTTAGGGCAGAAAGAATATATAGGGCAGCCATTGCCTTTATGGCAGGGAAATTTAATTTGAAGGCCATTAGTGTTCCAGATCCCACTCACAGAACAGACTTAGGACTGGGGAAATAAGGGGATTGAAGGAAGGAGAGAATAATGGAGAAGATGCAAAGGGAGTAGTGTCTGAGGCTGTGCAAGGCATAAATGTTGAGACTGAAGTAATTTGCTCACACATGTTTTATGTGCAGTGCCTCATCGATTGCCATGCCCTCTGAAGAGGCAGAATTGCTGCTTTGCAACGATTTAAGGTTAGGGTTGAATTCAAAGAAACATTTAAAATTAGCAACATTCAATACTAATGCTCCAAACACATTTCACGGTCTTTTTGTTTTCAAAAACATCTGATCTGGATGGTCTGTGAATTAGGATTTCTTTAGTGATTGGAGAAGTGTATATTCTGCTGTTGCAGAGCTTTCTAATACTCCTGTACCAAATAGTATCTGCATTTTTTAGGTGGATGATGACAAATGTTTCTATCAGTGAGAGAGGATTTTACAGGAGTGGAATCTAAATTAGGCATTCTCTGTTTGGATGAAACCACAGTTATAACACACCACCGTTGGTCTAACATAACTTCTTTAAAAATGTTTGCAGACACACTTTGAATGAAGAAACAGCAAAAGTAAATAACTTCAGGACCCTAATACCATAGTCCTTATATCCCAGTGATCCTACTAGATTTTTTTTCCCTGAAGATTTTGCTGGAATTTCAAGTGACCAGAAGATGTGTTTTCCAATCAATATCTGTGCATTTTAGTTTTTGAGGTTTTTTTCACATCTGGTTTTCCTTTTTTTTCCATCCCTAAAAGCTGCAAATTTGAAAATTGAGGAGGTATAAAGGAGGAAGGAAGCATTTTGGTATTTGTCCTTTTTCCTAAACATATGTAGCTGACTACTGTTTGGAGTTAGCAACCTTTGGTAGGACAGACTAAAGCAGTCCTTCTGGCTTGTGATCTAGAACATCTCACATTTTTGCTTATAAAGTGATTAGGCCATCGCTTTATGCACACAGGGCTAGATTTCCAAACTAAAATTTCTGAGATAATCTTTAAGGCTACATGCAGCCCATGAAGAAAACTGAGCAATTCCCCTTCAAAAATTTAGGAAATGGAATGATTCTGGGATGTGTTACACTATAAGCAAGCTGCTCATATTTTACTGATATAAATAAGGTCTTTTACAGTAAAAGGCACCCATGGCAATCTGGGGTTTGTCAGCCTCTTCAGTTCTGGAAGTCTATATTGCTTATCCATTCAGACTTCCACCATGTATATTAAGGGAAGATAGGCTTCAAGGCCTTTATGAAGGTAGAGCTTCGATCATTATCTGACAAATGTTCCTTTTACAATGCTTGTTGTTAGCTTATCTAACTAACATGTGAAGGGAAGACATTGCTACTTACTTTAAATTGAAATGCTTGGCAGTTTTCTAGATACTGTCCGTTGTCCAATTATCTGGGTGTAGTCCATACACTCCTTCCCCTTTTTCTGTTTAGCAAAGAACATCCAGCCTCTTTATGTTACTGTGAACAGATGGTCTCTAATGACACTTTCAAGAATTTGACAAGTCAGAAAGGGGACTTCTGGTGAGCCAGTAAGTTCTTTAAGGAGATGGGTGCACAGAAGAGACAGAGATAGCACAGTTGCAGAACAGTGACAAGACAGAGCCACCTGTGGCCGTGGTCCTCCCCAACTATGCCTCCTTCTATGATGTTCTCAGCAGAGCACCTTTTTCCCTGGCAAATCCTCAATAACCAGATCTATTTCTTTTCCTCCTATGGTTCTTTTTTCCCACATATGTTCATGGGTTGTAAGTTTTAGGATCTGTTTGCGTGGTGTGTAGAAACAATATGTGTTGCTTATCAATGAAGGGTTCTTATTGCGTTGTACTTTTATTTTCCAGGTATTTCAGTATGATGATAAAACTTCTCTGTGCAAAGATATTCCTGCCTTGGAAATAAAAAAGCTGCAGAAGCAGAATGCCAGCCTTCGGGCTGCTATTGCACAAATGAGGAAAGAAATGGAGAGTCTTGATGAGCAGATGTTGTCTTCTCTTCCTCTGACAGAAAACAGACAGCTTGTAGAGCAAGGTAACAACTCTTGCCAAAGACCTTTAAATTCAGTAAGGAAGTGTAGCAGTCACAGTCACAACCTATGAGGGCTATCCAGCCCATGGGTGTGTAAAACTCATTGCTGTGGGGTTCTCAAGATTGCACAATACATAAGCACACAGTGGTCTGAGATTCTTTATTACAAATTACTACAAAACTATTATTAGTAGTAAAAACAAATGCACACATAAAGTCACTATGAAATTACCGCTAGAAAAGCAAATGTGTATATATATTGCAAGAGTAAAGCAAATATATGTATATTACAAGTTATGACAGAATTCCTGCTAGTGAAGCAAGTATATAGAATCACAGAATTGTTTGCGGTGGAAGGGACCTTTAAAAGTCTCCTAGTCCAAACCTCCCTCCCATAGGGGTTTACAGTATATCCGTTTACAGTATATCTACTGAAGTGGTGTACAGAAGGAGGCTCGGGGGGACCTTACCACTCTCTACAACTGCCTGAAAGGAGGTTGTCGTGAGGTGAGGGTCTGTCTCTTCTCCTAAGTAATAGGCAATAGGACAAGTTATGCCAGTGCAGGTTTAGAGTGGATATTAGGAAGAAGTTTCTTTTTGGAAAGAGTTATTCAAGCATTGGTGCAAGCAGGGGAGGAAAATGGTTGAGTCACCATCCCTGGAGGTATTTCAAAGACATGTAGATGTGGCACTTGAGGACACACTTTAGCAGTCAACTTAGCAGTGTTCTATCAATGGTTTGACTTGATGATCTTAAAGGTCTTTTCCAACCTAAATGATGCTATGATTCTAGACATGTATATTCATGAGACAATGTTCTAAAGCAGCTGTTGCTTTTATACTCCTCTTTTAGGTTCAGTGAGCACAAACAAAATTTCAACTGCAACCACTTTGAGCAACATCAAAGTCAGCTCAATTAAGCTGGACTGTATAGTAAACCCAGACACAGAAAAGGTATAAAGAGGTTTAAACTACCTAAAATATCTGTGTGTGTGTGTATGTAATTAAATGCAAAGCACATTATTTTTGTTTGAATGCATACTATAAACTGAAGTAATATATGGCTAGTTAAATGAGAGCCAGCAAAGATTTTTTTCAACCAGACTTGTGGTCATTCTTTCTAGGCAATAAATTTTGACGAGTCACCCCCTGGCACAAGTCACTCCTGATCTTTCAAGCCCGTCTTGATTTTTTTCCCCCCCACTTTCAAATGCTTAAGCTACTGTGTATCACATCTTCAAGTTTTCCATTGTAAATCCGTTATTGTAAATCCAAATGTAACTCAGTATGACCAGGAGAAAGTTCCACGCCCCAGTGCTGTCTTGGAGCACTCACCACCCACAAAGGAAAAACCCACTGCCTCTGAGAGTGTGTTTTGCTCAGTTCAAGGGTTTACAAATGTTATTCCCACTGTGTTATTTTAAAGAGTAGTGAAAATATCAGAATTAATGTGTGACAGTGGCATCTCTTGAAAAAATAATAATGGAATTGAAAACGGGGACAAATATCTAATACTGTGTAAGGAGTAAGTCACTGTATGTTCTCCTCTTCCTGTCTCCCATCAAATTCATGGTGCAGTAAACAGTCTGAAGTAAGATAGTTTAAAATACAACTCAAAAATAATGAGTTTCTAATTGTCATCTGTGAAACCTAACAATATCTGTTTCATGCTTTAATCTTATTGTTAAGACTCACTAGTAACCATCTAAGTTCAAGAAAATTGAAATAATAGCTAAGTAATAAATAAGCATGAGAGGTCCCGATTACGTTAAAAGCTAAGAGCTTAAAAAACTGAATCGATATTAATGTTTAAATAAAACTTTGGAGCATTGGGAACCTTGTGTGGAAAAAATGCAAAACCTGCTAGGATCATGTTTAATCTTTGCTGAATATAGAAATATTTTAGAAATATGTTTGTCCATGCTGTCAAATCATATTTTGAAAATCATTGTGTGCCAGAACAGACAGCTCAGATTTATTTTTTCTCTTTGGCCACTTCCAGAACTAGGTGGAAACTAAATTTTATACCAATTATTCTTTTTTTGTTGCCGAAAATGTTTTACAAACTACTGTCCAAGACGCATTTTCATTTTCTTTGCATTTCTTTAAGTTGAGAAAGAGCCTTCAAAGAAAAGTAGACAGTGACTTTGCCTTGGAGACTGTAAAATAGGAAATGAACATTCTCTGTTCCAGAGGTTAATCCTTTGCTTCATGATGCTAAACTATAATAGAATGCTTATAGCTGGATATGAGAACAGGAACATTTTTCAGGCAGATGTGCACCTTCAGCATGAAATGCTGAATTAATTGTACTTTGTATATATGGACACGTACTAAATAGTAGATGTGCAGGCCAAAACTTCAAGTGAATAAAATGCTGGATTTGTACTTAATGCTGTCTTCACTGAAGCTGAACTATTGTTTCCTGGCTATTTCTGCTGTCTGCTTTATTTTTTTCTTTCTTAGTGCATAACAAGCCTTCTTAGACATAGACTGGGAGCTGGAAACAGTCCTGAAAATATCTTAAAAATAATGGGCAAAACTTCATTAGAATTTCTTACTGGATTCTAGAAGTGCTTATCTTTAACTTTCTTCTATACTGTCTTTGTACTTCTTATGTTTATTAATTGCATGCTAAGGATGTACTTTAGGCCATGAAGAAATACAGGCAAAAGTATTTCTACCTCAGGGAGTTCAGAATCTGTTGATCAATAATGGTAACTAAACATGGGTGTGCAGATGTGAAGAGAACCATAGCAATAGTTTTCTTTTTTCCACTTGATATAACAGAGGTTCTGTGACCATAATCTAGAAATTATAGACTTCAGGGCTAAGGAGGAAAGTTTATTGTGGAAACTAGTAAAATAGGCATGTAAACTTCTGTGTGTACGTATATTTTTCTTTTGTATCAGCTCTGAGGAGAGTTTTTCCTCCCACTCTTTTTTAGTACTTATTTTATCAGTGTTTTCTCTCTTTTATACTGTAGAATATTGCTCTGGAAACAGATCTAAAGGTAAAAAGATTTCTGAGTTCCAATCCTAGCTCTACAGTTTACAATCTGTCACTGGAAAAAAAAAATTTCTGTGTAATGCTGTTGAATGTTTTTCTGAAAAGTTCAGGAAAAATAGAAGTTTAAGCAAATGGTATTCCTTGCCGCAGCCATGTGATGTGCTTTTGCCTTTTGGTCTGGTGAAGGTGGCACAGTGTGACAACCAGTGGGGCTGTAATGGGTCATTGCCTTCCCCTCTCTTTATGCTGAGCCTTGCTTGTTAATTTCACTGTTCGTATGATGAATGTAATAATTTGTGGCTACTTATATTAATTTCTTTTATATAAATTGCCAAATGTGTGCCCGTGGTGTTCCTTTTTATATTTTACTTTGCTGTCTTTCTTAGTGTTTTTAGGCTCTAGTCTTGCACTAATTTCTCTACCATTCTCCCCCATAGTGTTTGTAGAACTGTGTGCTTTCCGTGTACGTTCTCAAGAGCCTTCCTTTTTACGGTAAAACTCTCCAAAGGAATAAGAGAATGGGAATTGCATGGCACACTAAGGCAATGGTGGTTGTTTTTTTTTGTCAGTATGGATAATAGCCTTCAACGTGTACTTCTGGAATCGTACTGTACAGGGTGATTTACTTGAAAACTGATTGGGGTTGCACAGTTAGTGTAGTACACGTCTAACTAATTTATATATAGAAGAGTAAACATACAGATGGGTAAGAGTTTTGTAAAACAATTTTAATGCATGGATATATTTAGATACTTGTGGCAATGTGTGAAATTTAAAATGTCTATAGGGAGATGATTTGTTCAGTGAATGATGAGTATTTAAATGGATATCAAAAAATGCCCTTTGTGGGGGCTGAAAGAGGCAAGTATATAGCTCTTGAAAAAACAAGGATTTATCTTTTGGGTAAGTACTTTTATCATTATGTATACGTGCAGGTGGACTCAGGTTTGCAGAGACAAAACAGACTGTAGAATCTTTGCTTTTCATTCTGCAGCCTTTCTCTTTAAAACAGTGTTTTAAGTCAGATCTACCCCTTATGTGTGCATGTACACAATGATTAAACAAAGAAGGGTTTGTGGTAGATTTGCTATAAAGTGGGTTTTTTCCACATTTTATCTTAAAATTAACTGCTCTTTAGTTTACAGTTATACGATGTTTATCCTATGTGTATTATTTTACACTCACAGTTGACAGTATTTGTGGGGATGTCTCAGTCTGTTACAGTGTTTTGCTCCACAGTTTCATTTGCCATATATTGCTAACAAAATCTTGGAAATTGACTCAAAAAAACGGGTGGTAGACTTCAACTTTACACTTTTTCTTCAACTGGATTCTGATGCGTGCTTCTACAAATCTCTCAACCTTCAGACCACACTTTCAAAATATTCATTACAAGCGCTCTCTGTTTTATTCAGGGGCCAGAACCCAAAGTTCTTGAAGAAAAGATAGTAGATCTTGGACAACAGTTGCCTGATGTAGATCCTGGTGTTGAGCTTCAATATGGTGTCAAATATGCTCTACAGGGAATGCAAAATAAACTGAAGGAAGCAGCAAGAAAAATCTCAATCCTAAACCAAGAGAAGCGGCAGTTGATTGAAATGGGAAACAGACTCAGGGCAGAACTTGGAATGGTGTTAAAGGAAGGTAAATTTATTCTGCAGAAGAGTGCTAACATATATGTAGAATAAAATCTGGGAATCAATTCATCCTTTGAGCCGGAGAGAGCTAGGCTTTAATATAAAAACAAAGTGCTGGACCTGACTGATCTTTGATCTGCATGGTTCGTGTGAGACTGTGGTACTAATTGTTGCAAGTAAGATTATCCTTTGATAGGTGCTGCTAATATAGAACAATGAGAGTCTGTATGTAGTAACTTTTGTTGATTAACATCATAGATGAAGGACTCCCTGATGCCTAGATGTCAGTGTGGGAACTGGAACTTGAACTAAGACTTTGTTTATGAGCAGAAAAGAGGTAGTTTATCTCTTGGAATAAAAACTAAGGTTTTAGGAAAGTGGAAGAGAAAGCAGAATAAGTTTACTGTAGCACAGACTTGAATTAAGAGTATATATAATGTAAGAAGATTTCACAGTGGATATTTATGTTCCATGTACAGTTTCTCTAGCAATAGAGCAAAGGAAAAAACCACAAGGCCCATTTCTGCATAGCATTGAACCCATCTGCAGTGAGAAGGCCTGTGTTCTGTGATTCATTCCTATCTGCTGTAAACACTTGCTGGGAATGTAATATTGATGACAAAATAACAACAAAGAATGCCTTCCTTGGTATTTTCTCTGCTTTATAGGACTTTGGCATCCTGTCGGCTCTAAACACTGCACAGTTTGTATTGCCTCTGGTAGTCTGCTTCCAAGAGAACTTGTGAAAAGAACGCAGTGTCAGCTATCAGCTCTAAAACATCTACAGCACAAACTCACAACACAGGTAATTATATGCTCTCTGAAATGTAGTGATAATGATCCGTTAAGCCAGTTCGAATTTTGTGAATGTAACTTTCCTTAAAATTCCACATTTAAATGACTCTTACTGACTTTAGCTCAAGTCTATCTTTGGGAGATTTCATAAAATCATAGAATATCCAGAGCTGGAAGGGACCCATGAGGATCTTTGAATCCTGATGCCAGGCAGGACAACCTAGAAGTTAAACCGTGTATCTAAGGGCATTGTCCCAAATGCTTCTTGAACACAGACAGGCTTGGGGCCATGACCACTCTCTGGGGAGGTTGTTCCACTGCTTGACCACCCTCTCAGGGAAGGACTTCTTCCTAATATTCAGTCTGAATTTCCCCTGATGCAGCTTTAAGCCATTCCCCTGCATCCTATCACTGGACACCAAAAAGAAGAGATCAGCACCTCCTACACTGCTCCCTATCATGAGGAAGTTATAGACAGCAAGGAGGTCATTCCTCAGTCTCGTCTTTTTTAAGTTGAACAAGCCAAGTACCCTCAGCTGGTCTTCATAAATCTAGCTCTCTGGTCCTTTCACCATCTTTGTTGCTCTTCTTTGGGCACATTCTAATATTTCTATATCCTTCTCATATCGTGGAGCCCAAAATTGCACACAGTACTCAAGGTGAGGCCGCACCAATGCTGAGCGTAGTGGAACAGTCACTCTTTTGGTTGTTCAGCTGTGCTGTGCTTAATGCACTGAGGACACAGTTGGCACTTTTGGCCACCAGGACACACTGTTGACTCACATTGAGCTTGCCAGCAACCAAACTCCCCAGGCTGCACTTCATCCTTTTGTGCCCCAGTGGATACAGACCTCCAGCATTACACTGTCCTGGGTACAGAATCCATCATCTTTGCTCTTATTAATTTTCATGTAGTTGATGATTGCCAAGTGTTCCAGTCTATCACGATCTCTCTATAAGGTCTCTCTACTCTCAAGGAAATCAACAAGTCCTCCTAATTTAGTATCATCAGCAAACTTACTTGGTGCAGACTCAATTCGTGTGTCCAAGTCATTGATAGAAAGAGTGAAGAGAACTAGCCTTAAAATTGAGCCCTGGGAAAAACCACCAGGGACTGGCCGCCAGCCAGATGTTTCCCTCTGCTTAAGGGGTTTCCCCAGATGCTTAAAGGGTTTGGGACTTCAGAAGTAATATTTTTAAACATGATCTTCAGCCAAGGTGTTTTAGAAACACTTGTTGCAGCAATAAATGCAATCCTAAATTACGAGTTTTATAAAGCTTAGTTTTTAGTAAGTGAGGAAAGGCCATTTGACGTATTTGCAGTATGTCCTAAGATAAACGTTAAAATTATTAATCAATGAGCATATTTTCAAACATTCACAATGGTGGGATTTTAAAGCACCCACGTCCAAATTATTGTAATTGCACCTTTCCCATAAATGAAAGCAGGATATGTAGTTAACCTGTCTCTTTTCTTTTGTAATTGAAATACAACTTTTAATGGTTAAATTGCAGCTTTCATCAGAGACAGATGGATAAATCCTGACTCCCCTAGTAGTTAGTGGCAAACCTCCCAGTAACTTTGATAGTCAGGATTTCACTATGTACTTTACTTAATTGATCAGCAAATTTGTTCCTGTAAGGATTGAGTCAGAGCAGCTGATTGTTGTAGTTTTAAGGGCAGTAAACAATGTTCTTTCAGAAAGAGCGAGATTGTTGCTCTGAGGTATAAAACTCCAGTAGAATTATTAACCAAGTTCACTTGGGGAAATACTTCCTTTGGGAACCGCTCTGGGCAAGTTGTTCCAATGTTTGGTCACCCTCACAATAAAGAACGTTTGCATTTGGTTGGGATTTTTTGCCTTTCACTTCAGCAGAGTGTCCTGTACTTCTTTCTGCCCGTTGCCTTGCTCTTCCACTGTATAGCACTGGGAAGAGTCTGGCTCAGTCGTCTTTATCTCCTTCCACCATCCTCATCAGGCGCTTATACATGTTGAAAAGATCATTCCTGACCTATCTCTTCTGGAGGCCAGCAAGGCCAGCTGCCCCAGCCTCACTCTGATGTCAGATGTTCCAATTTGCTGATCATCTGTGTGGCTGTTTGCTGTTTGTGGCTATTGCGGTATGCCGATGTCTTTCTTGTCCTGGGGAGCCCAAAAGTGGACACAGTACTCTAAATGTGGTTGCACCAGTGCTTGGTAGAGGGAAATAATCGCCTACTGTGACCTGCTGGCAGTGCTTTCCTTGGTGCAGTCAGGATGCTGTTAGCCAAAGGCCTCATGAATGCACTGCTGCCTCCTGTTCATCTTTTAGTCCACCAGGTTTCTTGTTTCTTTCCTGCTGAGCTGCTTTGCAAACAGTCAGCCTCCAGCATATTAGATTGAAACTGCAATCTCCTCTGCCTTTGGGGTTAAAAATCAGCTGAATTTAAACTAATGTCCTCTGGAGGATCCTGTTTATTTTTAATTCTTCCTTTATGTATTCTTACTTGTCTTAACTGAAATCAAGAAAAGATTTGAGAACCTTTTTGTGGATTATTAAAGTTCATCTATGAATATGTCGGAGATTGAAGTTAAATGTTTACCTTTTTACATACTAAGATCTCTAGTATTATCTCTGGATAATATGAAACTCCACAGGAGATATTCCTATCGAATTGTCAGATTACACTAGGAAATCACAAATTTAAGTCATTTACTTGAAAATTTTACCATCTGAATACATTCTAAAAATGTCTTAAACATTTTTATACCTAGACACATTCTAAAAAGATAAGCTGGAATAACCACACATTCATGTTGAGCATGCCATCCTGTGGGGGTTTTAGCCCGAAATCATTACTAATTCTTCAGATGTTACCTGGTTGGCCTAGGTATAATACAAAGTATATGAACCATCTGGTCAGACAGTTTGAATGACAAAGGTGAGGTTCTTGAGAAAGAGCCAGTGGAAGTAAATTCTAATTAATATTATATTTTTCTTACAGTTAAGAGTGGTGCTAAAGAAAAAAACCCAAAGCATATTAACCTCTGTAGTTGCTTGGAATAAGTGCTACAAATTACGTAAATGGAGGTTAAGTGACTCAGCTGGTCCAATCTTTTTGGCAATTTAGTTATGCTGAAAACAGATATATTTTTTTCCTGTGAAGTAAAACAGCACTTCAGATGTACCCATGAGGGATATTATTTGGACTACTTACAAAAACTTCTGAGTTAGTAGATCTAAGAAAATACTGTAAAAGTTTGAAATGCAAAGATCATCCAGCAATTAAATTTGAGAACAAGTACTGACAGGGTCAAGTTTAGTGTTCTGCTAGCAGGTCTTTAGGCAGACAGTTAGGCAACTTCCGCACAGGATTGCTATTACCTTGGAGAAAGAATAGTAGTAAAACCAGGTAGTACTAATTTGAAGGGCTCAGTCATTTCAATATGAAAGGAAAAGGCTCTCCAAGCATCCAAAGCATGCAACAGTATTTCAGCCAGAAAAGGCATATTATTTGGGGAAGAAAAAAAGTACCTATGTTTGTTGGCTAAGGTGATTTTGTTAGATTGAATCTGTGGAAATGTTTTGGAATATGTTCTAAGGGAACCTGGCAGGCAAGAACTCTGCATTTGGACATCCTGTCCCAGGTATTTGCATTTCTCTTAGCTTCCTCCTAGCAGAAGGTATCCAACAAGAGAGGCTCTCTTGTCTGGTAGAGAAAGGTTGCCTGAAGTCCAAAGGCTGTGCTGTTAAGAGTCAATTAGAACCAAATTTGAACAGGTTGCTTCAGTGAAAATAACTCCCTGTTCTTCTTTACTGCCCATTAGTCAATGAAGAAGTTTTAAAGGTTGCAGTGTGAACAAACATTGTAGACCATCGATCTGACAGTGATAAACTGAAAATGCCATCTGCTGTACCTTTCCAGAGCTAATGGAGACTTGTTCTCCCTCGGATATAGTAGATAGTCTAAGACAACAGAAATTGAGAACTGTAAAAGGTCAGCCGGGTAAGTGCAATGTGTGCTGGAGAATATGGTCTATTTTAGCAAATTTATCTAATCAAGTTCTTTTGATGTCAAAAGTATTAGTGAGGGCATGAAAAATATGATTTAGGACATAACATAGTGAAAGCCATCTAGGTTTTGAGCTGGGAAGATTCAAATTACTTGAGTTCTGTGAGAACACATCTGGTAATGCAGCACTGTTTTTCAACTCTTCATTGACAGTCTGAGGGCATGATCAAGAGCTATCACAGCAACACCGCCACAAGAAGTATTAGCATCTTGTAGCACAAGGAGGGTCCTCAGAGAAAAGAACTGAGCATCAAATAAATAGCCTCGCTGACATATCAATGACACATCTTATGGGACAGTGGTATGAGCTACTTCTGGAGCAGGAAATCTTTAATTTCTTGTAAAACTCCAAGGTGGAAAGTTCAAATCTGGTCCTCTGTAACAGTCCTCAGCATAGGATTCTGATCTTCCTCCGTGAGGTTTCAGAAGGGAATAGGTGAGGCAGCTGTTACAGTGTGCCGAATGCCTGGAATGTGGTCTACCAACAGGAGAACTTACTGTGGAATGCTTCAGCATGCTTGTGGATGGATCGTTTGTTTCGGAAAGTTGCAAGCTTGGCATCCTTTGTTCACTTGAACTTTCAGCTCACTGTTTCAGAAATAGTGATCTTCCTAAACTCTTTAACACTGGAAATAATTTTTATGAAGGAAATTAGGGTACAGCAAAGCATTTGAGTAGACCTCTTGTAACCTGTTTTTTCCATCTGTACGCTGCTGGGATTGAGTCTGAAAAAGACTAGCTGAATGCTTACACTAAATGAACGTATCTAAAGATGATTTCCAGATCTGTGCAAAATTCCCACAATTCAAACCCACATTTTTTACAACTTCTTTTTTCCTTATTCACCTCTTTTTCTTTCTTTCACAGCTCATCTTAGAATTTAGCTGACTCTTAAATTAAGACCAATGAATATTCATCTCCCATCCGTCCCAGTCTTCTGTGGCCTTATTTTTAATGAGCTAGATACTGTGTTTGTATTTTTCTACACATCTCGTGTCTCATGTGTTCTGTTAAAAATCATTCTGTTAAAGATCATTCTTACTTTTGTAAGAATAAATAGATTTTAAAAATACGGTATGTCCATGGCACTTGGAGAGGTAGCATTTGACTGTGAGTTTCCAGTTGGTGTGCTAAATTCTGGGAGTAGTTGTTCAGTCTCTTCAGCTGATCGTTTGCTTGGAGGTCATGGCTGAAGTGGCTGTCATTGAGGATCTTTACACCTCTGGAACCTTTGAAAACATCATTTGTCCAGACTAGAAAGCATAGCCCTTCTTATATCCAGGCTATTCAGTACTCTAATTCCAGGCTGCTCTTTACCCAGAACAGACCTGCTGAGGCTTCAGCTCCTGCACTGAAGCTGAGCTGCAGGCTGACCTTCAAAAACTAGTGTTATTCTAGTTTAGGTATTTTTATTCTAGCTGATCACTCTTACTAGCCAGGCTACATTTGCTCCTGTGTTCAAAATCATCATCCTTAACAAAAACTGAGAGAATTTATTACTGTCATAGCTACAGGAATTTCACTTTAAGTTATTTTATATGATGGGATCACATTTTGTTTCTTTAGCCTTAAATATATAGCAAAAGACTTTGATGTTTATTTTCATCTCCTTTGAGAGGGCTAAAGTAGTTTGCTTTTCATCAAATCTCACTTTAATTACTACATGTTGAAAGTTGGTGAAACTTTGTGGGGTAAATTAGTTTTTTTAGTTGCTGACAAATTACTTTTCCATAGCTGCCTTATTTTAATTGGGGTTTTTGGTATTCTTTTGGAGTTTTTCTTCTGTAATTTAACCATGAGAAAAGACAAAAGCAAAGAATGACCCTGACAATATAAACCTGAGTAACAAGCAGAGTGATAGTAACAGCACCAGGAAATATAGATTTTGAACAGATTTAATACAAGGTTTATTAGGAAGGTAGTTTGGCCCTGTTGATCTGAAGGGAACATAATTTTTTATGTTCCTTATTTTGATTATTTTAAATCTAGCAGTGTAACAGCAAACTGAGCTATAAATGTATTATTTTTAGAGACCATGAGTTATTTGTGTAAATGTAATATTTCATATTAGAAGCTGCAATATGCAAGGCAACAGCATCCCTCGAGGTTCTCTTCTCTAGTTGCCTGCCCTGGCTTAAAGGAAGAAGAAGCTCCAAGCAACTGTGGGGAAGAAATAGAATTGCCATCCTCTGAGGTACAGTGCAGTTTTATCATCAGTGTAATCACCTTAAGTTGGACTTTTCAATTGGAATTGCTCAACAGCTCCTGGAAGACTTAAAAATCAATGTATTTTTTAAATTATGAATTTTTCCTGTACAAAATAGCATTTGGTAACACTAGATAAACTAGGGTTTCTCAATCACTGTCATGATGTTGTAATTAATCTTGTACAACCTTTCAAAAGTAAAAATAATAGTTTTCTTTTGTCTTGCCTCTTGCTGAAACCTTGTATCTTTCCAAGTCCAAGATGCCACTATGAAATTTAACCAATTTTCAGATGTCTTTGATGTGAAAAGTATATATTTCTGTAAGATTATCTTTGAATTTGAACAGGTTCAGCTAGATTTCTCTATTGAAAATCATGGACCAGAGCAACAAAAGGCAAATGCATCCTCAAAGATTGTTCAAAGTCAGCCGCTTAGGCAGAGTCCTAGTCAAGTCCAGCAGGTCCAGCTTTCTTCATCTAGAGCATATAAATTCTGTCAAGGTGTTTGGCAAACTTTAGAAATGGGATCAAGCCTTTCTATTCTCAGTCCTCAAAAGAACAGCAACCAAGGTAAGCCCGCTTTGTAAAGTAGTCACAGTATTTGACTCTTCTTGAAGAGTGGAAGTACGGTAGTGGAATTCTGTCCCCTTCCACTAATTATTTTACTTGACTGCTGCTGTTGTTACAGTCCTATCATCAGAATCTGAATGAGTTACTTGAAGGGAATTCCACTGTTGCCATCAGAAGTAAGAATTAAGAGGAACGTCTATACAGCTCTTTGGTTTTAATGCCATCGTTGCAAATACTTCTCCACTTTTATTAAGTGCTCCTGGAAATTGCAAATTCTGTTTTGACATAGTCTAAAACTTAGCTGGGACAGATATGAAAGTGTCTGTTTGAGAACTGCACACTCTATGTGTTGCCAAGTAACTGTTAGATCAAATTGTAATTTGGCAAATCCTTGCTTAATTGTTATTTTTGTAGCAGGTTAATTGCTACAATACTCCTTAATGTGCTAAGACCTAAAAGCCAAAAGTGACATCATGGGCATAATGTGGTATATGCTGTAGGCACAAAATGAACTAGGTATTGATATTCACTAGAGTTTTATAGTCCAGTGCAACAAGTTGGAAGAGAAAAAAATAAAAGCAGACACATATATGTGAGACAGTGTCAGGGTTAGGATGAGAGGCAAAGGTAAAACCTAGGTCATAGACTGAACATTAATCAGTGTTATATGTCTACAAAAAGCACCGCGTTCTTGGAATATTTAGCAAGAGCACCATTTGTAAGATGTGTGCAGTAAAGCGTAGCTTCTTAACAGGCAAATTGTAAAGGAACTTTTTAATGGTAGCTATTATGTTGAGCAGTGTATTGCAGATTAATATTACGTCTCCCAAACTGTTGGCCTGTTCATGGAGTAATCCTTCATCGGCAAAACTTTGGGAAACTGTTCTAACACCTGCTGTGGATCGGACAAAAAGTAACAGACTTACAAACTTCAGGGATGGCTAACAGCAGGATGGCTAATAGCGGACTGTGTTCCCTAGAGAGATTGTAGACTCTTCTTTATTAAAGGTCTTTATAAGTAGACAGACAAACATTTCTCCAGAATGTCCCAAGTAAAGGTGATCATCATTATTCCTGAGATCTGACAGCATCTGTGGAATAATATGACAGCCATTTAGCCTTTTCAAATGAGCTTTATATTGGCAATGACCCGTTACCATTACATGGATACTCATGTGCCATTAACCACATATCAGACTGCAGGAACAAGAATGTAACCAGTGAGCTAAGGGATTTGTTCACTTCTATTTGATACTTGTGAGGCCACATCTGGAGACAGCGTCCAGCTTTGAACCCTCTGGTACAAAGGACTGACAAACTGGAGTCCAGAGCAGAATCACTAAATTGCTGGGGCACAGGAACATGCTGCATGAGAAGAGGCTGAGAGAGCTGGGTTGTTGAGCATGGAAAAGAGTCAGTGAGTGGTGTTATTGCTGCTTTTTAACTACTCAGAGAGGGATTTTGGAGAAGACAGAAAAAGAGACTTAGAGGTGCACAGTGAAAAGAAAAGAGGCAATGGACACAAGTTGTGTCAAGATATTCTGAGCAGGGAGTGATAAGCACTGTGACATTTCACCCAGAAGTCCTTTCCAGCCTATGTTACATCTACTTTTAAGTCAGTATATGGATGCAATGAACCATCTTTAGCAGCTCACAAGAAAAAATAATATTTTAAAGGGCTTTCAAAATGAGAAGTGGATTGTAAGTGTATTTACTCACAAGAGCAGTCCATTGCAGGGACAAAGTAATGTGCATTGATAGACCTGTAGGACTGGAATGGACATAGTGCTGACAGTCATGATTCTTGTGCTTTTTTTGTGAAGCTGAGACTGAAATAGGAAGAGTTATTTCAGGTCAGGCCTATATTGACAGGATAAGCAAAAGGATGTCTTTGAAACATTACTGATAGTGCCATGCAGTTTCATGCTGTTGTATGTGTGATGCAACAGCTCTGGCAGCCTTACAAGGACATCAGTTTCTTAATGTTTAGAAATTTCCAGCCACTGTTGCAAAACTTAACATAGATTTTTGGGGATCTAGAGAATAGCAAAAGGGAAAGGTGGTACTGCCAATGTGAAACAAGTGAAACATCAGTAAGGGCTGATATTTTCCTGAGAAGAACTTTAATTTTATCTCTGCAACCAGATTTATCTGAAGAACACCAGAGTGGAACTTCTAATTCAAACATGCAGGTCCTGAAATGCTGCATTGCAAGAATAAGATTTTTAAATGCTCTTTTTTGCTGCCTAGCTTTCTCCTCCAGGAAACCAACCAAAAGGTGTCCTTAATTCTACTAGAGTGAATTCTGCATTTCAGAAAACAAGATTGTGAAAGCAAAATTTTTCCTTTTGGAAGGACATCCCCTTAGAAGCAAAATATACAAAATTTTCAAGTTCTGATTTTTAGTAGAGGCTTGCATTATTTTTCATGCCTGAGCTATGGAAAATTAATTCAATCTTTCCTGTTTAATTCCACTCACTTGAATTTAGTACATTCATCAACCACATGGTTAGATAGAACTGTCATTAAGATAAAGTGACTCGGAACTGGGCTTTCAGGTACAAGTGACACACACAGAGACTTGGAAGCTCAGTAACAAGAATGATTTCATAGAATCATAGAATCAGCCGAGTTGGAAGGGACCTCTGAGATCATCAAGTCCTAACCTTGATCCACTACCACTGCGGTTACTAGACTATGGCACTAAGTGCCACATCCAGTCTCATCTTAAAAACCTCCAGGGATGGAGAATCCACCACTTCCCTGGGCAGCCCATTCCAGTGGCTGATCACCCTCTCTGTAAAGAATTTCTTCCTAATATCCAACCTAAATCTCCCCTGGCAGATCTTAAGACCATGCCCTCTTGTCTTACTGATTGTTGCCTGGGAAAAGAGACCAACCCCCACCTGGCTACAACCTCCTGTCGGGTACTTTTAGAGAGTGAGGAGGTCTCCCCTGAGCCTCCTCCAAGCTGAACAACCCCAGCTCCCTCAGACTCTCCTCATAGGACCTGTGCTCGAGTCCCTTGACCAGCCTTGTTGCTCTTCTCTGGCCCTGCTCCAGCAGCTCAACATCCTTCCTGAGCTGAGGGGCCCAGAACTGGACACAGCACTCCAGGGGTGGCCTCACCAGCGCTGAGTCCAGGGCAAGAATCACTTCCTTGGACCTGTTGGCCACACTGTTCCTGATACAGGCCAGGATCCATTGGCCTTCTTGGCCACCTGGGCCCACTGCTGGCTCATGTTCAGCTTCCTGTCAATCCAAACTCCCAGCTCCCTTCCTGCCTGGCTGCTCTCCAGCCACTCTGTGCCCAGCCTGTAGCGCTGCAAGGGGTTGTTGTGGCCAAAGTGCAGGACCCGGCACTTGGCCTGGTTGAACCTCATCCCCTTGGAATCAGCCCAACTCTCCAGTCTGTCCAGGTCCCTCTGCAGAGCCCTCTGGCCTTCCAGCTGATTGACACTCCCCCCCAACTTGGTATCATCTGCAAATTTGCTGATGGTGGACTCAATCCCCTCATCTAAATCATCGATAAAGATATTAAACAGAACTGGGCCCAACACTGATCCCTGGGGGACACCACTAGTGACCGGCCGCCAACTGGATGCAGCACCATTCACCATTTGCTACAGAGCAAGCAAGTTAGTTTGCTTATTCAAACTTTTTTATTCCAAGTTCACTCTGTCCAAATTTATTATATCAGTAGCTATGTTTTAGGGACATTTCTTGTGAAACAGAGAACTGTAGCACGAAAATGATTTTTCTGAACCTGTTAAACATTTTTTTCATGTACAGAACAGAAATGGTTGGCATGTCAAGTAAGCCCTGCGATTTGCTCTGTTTCCAGCATGACACAATGCAATGACTCAATGCTCAGTGTGTTTTGAAGTGTTAATAACTACATCTTAATACTGAATTACTGAAGTAGACTGTTATAGACTTTATTCATTTCACCATCAAATTCAGAACTTGTATAAACTTCCAAGCAAGTCAAAAGGCTATGAGATATTTTAATTTTCTCTCTCTTTACTCTACTTTCTAATTTTCAGTTTATATTGTAGAAATGAAATTGATTTAATAGCTTATATGTTAATTCTGTAGATAACTAGAGAGCAGGTATTTAGAAGGAGCATAGGTTCCTGCCGAATGTGTTTTTCTTGTTCCATATTATTAAAAGAAAAAGAATCTGCTACAGAGGTAGACAGGTACAAGCCATGATGATAATAAAAGGCTCCATAAGATACATAGGCTGTACTAGTAAGAAATACACTTCTGTATTTCTTTCCTTTTTAAATACTCTATGCCAGAGGCTGAGAGCAGGTGAAAGATTTTGGTTGGTGATCCACATCATGCGTGTCTTGAATGCCGATGACAAGCCACCCTCAAAGGAAAGTTGCTTATCAGATTAGTTGTCTGCTTTCCTCTGAAAATCATGGCACACATGTACAGCCAGGTGATCAGGTGATGTATGTCTGCTGCAAGTTTTCTCCATTCACCAGTGGGCTATCGGGCCTTTTTAGATTTCAGAGTAACTGTTAGGCAGGAGGAGGGGAAGCTTTGTAAAACATTTAGAAAACTGAAATTTATTTTCTTTGAGTAATTTAGCTTAATAAAGTTATTACTTGCTGTTGGAGACACTAGTTTTTTTGGGGAAAAAAGGCAAACATAACCTATTAAAGTTCAACTCTAAGACTGCATTTAGCATAAAGCCAGTACTGTGAAGGGCCCTGTGTGGTACCGTGTGAACAGATCAGTATCAGCTGTATCTTGTGGGGTCAGCAGGGGCTGGGTTCAGTGCAGAGGGAATAATGGCATAAGGCAAGCTGTGTTCTCATTAGACACTGGATTTATACACTTTGGGGTAGATGAAACTTTGTATTTTCATGTCCCACTCTACATTTTGAGAAACTCCACCTCCACAGGTACTCAGTATGTGTCCTGAGTTTACTAATTGGAGTTTACATTGTAGCCTAACGAAGAATAGGAATGAGCTGCTTTGAGGCAAAGTAACTTTTCTGGTTTGCTACTTGAGCTTAGGGGAGTTTCTTCTGCTATAATTCTCATTGTTACTTGCAAAGCTCTGTGGTCTGAAATGCCGCACTTTATGGATCAAAAGTTATCTTAAGTGTTTCCACACTAGACAGAATTTCAACAGCTTTGACATCACTGACAGTTCTAAGAGCAATCCATGGGGGTAAAAAGCTGGCCAGAGAAAGAATCTGGTGAAATATTAACAAACAGAAAGAGTGCTCTGGCTCTGGCTTCATTCCGGCTCCAATCAGAGACAGACTCATGATCTCTTTTCTGCGTTACATAAAACTTCATCTTTGAAGTGTTTCACAAATATTAACTAATCTCCTAGTTACATTTTCTTCACTTACATGTTCTTCTCCTGAATAGGAACTTGTTTGAGTTGGTGTTCCTTCAGAAACACTGTTAGCCATAAGCAAATATCTAGTGACAAATTTGTTAAATGAAATTTTCCATCTGGGGAAATTTCAGTTTGCTCATAGAACATGTCTATATATATCTCTTTCATTCTGAGAAAAAAGTTCTGTGAATATTAATTTCTGACCGAAGTTAACACACATCAAATTGAAGAGATGTTAAGCATTTCAATACACTAAACATTTAGTTCCATTTCCAAAAGCAGGTTAGATGCTCAACTATGATCCTGCTAGCTCTGGTTGGCAAGGTCACTTCTGAAAGTAAGTTTCAGGCTTGTAAATTAGGTGTGTTTTTTCATTTGTGTGAAAACCAAGCTACTGCGTTCAAATTTTACTGTACAGTGCATATTCATGCTGATCTTATTCAGGGTCCCTCACAGATGTGAACAGTCCCGAGCAGAACCAGCAATACAGTAAGGTCTTTATTCAGTATTCTCTTAGGATATTTCACTTTAAGTAGTATTTCTCATTCTGGGGTATTGATTCTTCATCTTTTTCCATTTTTGGAAGTAACCGTACATTAGCACACATTTTTGGCAGTTCAAAACTTTTTAAAATAGCCTTATAGAATGCTCATGTCCTGTGTTGTTGTTCCAAACACCTAAATTAGCCTTTACTAGTTACAACTGTAGTTTCTCTATGAATGAGAGGAGACAAGCATACAGAAGTCTTCAGAGGAAGGGATGCATGTGATGCATTGGTGCGTGATTACTTTGCCTTTGGATTTACACGATTAGGGTGTCCCACATTAATTTCTGAAAATCATCCCCTTTATTGAATACAAAATACCCTTGAAAACTGAGTAAATATTTAAAAAACCAGACTGTCTGTAAGCAGTAAGTGTGTGCTATTTATGGATCTGCTCATTGCTGTTATTCAGATCACAAGTGCTAGGTAATATCATTCTGCTGCTGTTCCTGTTCAAGAAGATAATCCTTGAAGCAGTACCTTTCAGACACAGCTGCCTGTACTGTTCTAAATGGTTTATGTTGTGAAATTCTGCATTATTATCTGCCAGATGTGGTAGAGGTACTATAATGAATAAAGTCCATTTTCCAGGTAGGAAAATACACTCAAAGATCTTCATGAGTTCAAGCATGCTCTTCCATACCTTCTACATCTGTAGCAAGCCACTAGGTGGCAAGCTGGACAACAGGATTTCACATCCACAGTGCAAGAGCCCACTGAGTCTTTGCCACCTGTGATAACAAATGCCACTGACTCCATGCAGAGATGACACACACGAGTGAACAGCTGGTTCAAGCTAAGCCTGAATATAAAAATTATTTTGAAAAATGTCATGTTTTGACACTAGCCACAGTGTCATGCTTTGCATAGAGCTATAAACCTTCAATAGATCAATTCATTCCAGAATTCAGGAATATTTTTTATTTTCTTCCATGTTAAATTTTGTTTGGACTTTCTACCATGTCCAGTTGACTTTGAAAATTTACCTTCCCCTACTAATAACTTTTCTTTGTCCATTTGTGTACCTTTTATTTTACTCTGTGATTGAATAGTCTCTGGGACTGCAGCCTGTGGTGCTCATAATTTAAACTGGTACAGAATGCTGTAGTGTGTATTATCCCAAGTATATTATGACTACTCCTCCTGTCTGCTTTGGCTCTTCATAGAAAATGTGACATCTTAGTGCCTTGAAAAATAAGGATTAAGTGGCTGGAGCCAAACACCTGTAAATATTACCTATAGCTTATAGTGAATACTTTGACCAGTTACACTTATCTTACCTAATGAAACCTGTGACAAGACTAAAGTTCATTTAGTTGGACATAATGGTTTTCAGAGAATTATGTGAGAAGCTGCAGGATGGACTCCGGCTGATATTAGGACCAGTCCCACTGCTTCCCATCCAAAGATACTACTTTTAGAGTTAGTTCTCTCTAATACAGACAAGATATTTTAGACAACAAAATCAAAGATTTCCACAGTAAATGCCTTCTTCTGTGAGAGAAGATTGAAAAAAAGCCCCAAAAGGTAATGGTAATAGTGCACCTTTGTCAAACCAACAGAATTGCCTCTGAGCCTTTTGTATCATGCATATCCAAACATATTCTCTCACAGTGGAGAGAAGGGTAAACTTGTAAAATGTGATGTTTAAAAACAGCTGAACAGATAGGTAGTGCTTAACTTCAACAGTCACACCAACCTCCCAGCTGTCTTCCTCTCTTAAGCAGTCTGATGCTAATGGAGATGAACAGCTACAGATGGAGCGAGGATTGAGCAGGAGATGCTGATGTGTTACACCATCAGTAGAGCACACCTTAATGGACAGTTCTGGGCCTCCTATGTACAGAAATGATTCTGTTAATATAAGATTGTCACAATACGGCACTGTGGCAGCAGTGTATTTAGAGGAAAAGAGTAAACCAGTTCTCTTCATCTATCCAGTCTCATAATTAAATACAAACATAACTACGAAGTATTTTTCTGTATTTTTTTGAGCAGTGGAATTGGAAGTTATACATTCAACCAAGCAATCTGAAGAATCTCAGCAAAATGTCAAAGCCAAGGATAAACTTGAAGTGCCAGCTGGAGATTTGACAGTCAGAGGAACAAGGCTGGAAGTTCAGCAGAAGTTAAAATCCAGGAATTTATCTTGTGCTCATCCATTAAAACCAAAAATCTCTTCTAACATGGCAAAAATCCGCAACTATAATATTAAAGACTGATTTCTATGTTGGCAGCAGGTTCCAGATCTACAGTTGCTATTAATTTACTTTGAAGTCTCTAAATCAGATCTAAATATTTGCTTCATTTTTGTATGTTGAGTTATTTGCAGCCAGAAGGGAGAACAAATACCCCGTTTCACACAGCGACCCCTGAAATAAAGGGTTAATGTGTGTACATTATGAGATTACAGTCTTCACTGTTAATACTGATTTCTTTTAATTATATGTGTTAAGTTTTGCTTGCATCATGGATTTAGAAATGCCCAGTTTACACATAGGTAAAGCCTTGTGCCTTCAGGCAGGGCTTCCAGGTCTTTAGCAAATTTTTTGTTGAGAAACTGTAGATGTGATTTAAGCTTAGCAGTGGGATGCCTCAACCTACTTGTTTTCTTCTAATTAACAATGCAACCGTTAATCCTGTGCAGCTATCTTTCTACTTGAAAGTAAAGGGGTTGAAAAGATTACACCTGAGTCTGTATTGTTTCTCATATTCTGTAGCTCCTCCCACTTGTTCAGACATAATGAGAGTATAAAATTAAATCTCTATTGTCACGCTAGTAATTATATTTTTCCTTGACGTGAGATTGCATGGACTTTAAAGCAGTGAAAAACACTGCTAATGAGTTAGAATCATACCCTCAGAATCATACCAGATGCACTGTAAGATATGTCTTAAAACATAAAACTAAAAGAAACTTGAGTTAGTTGGGATGTAAGAAAGGATATCTCTGTAGCAATGAACACACCAGGACATTGAAACAAGTAATGAATGTATTTTTGTAACATTTCCGTAATGCTGAGCTGTCTTGGGATATTACAGCGATGAACTTCATGTAAAGGAAATACACTTGAAGAATTCAATTAAAAACTTTTTTTATGGAGTCTCTGTCTATGGAGATAATCAAAACCCAACTAGATGTGGTCCTGGACAGCCTGTTCCAGATGACCCTGGAGCTGAGGGCTTGGACTAGTTAATCTCACGAGTAATCTCTCTTACCTTCCAAGGTAAGAGATTCTTTGAGTCTGTGAGTGGTATCACTGAAGTGAATAATACTTCTCAGTTGCTGCTAAACATATAAAATCTAAACAGGATAAATGAAGGAAGAGAGCCTCTTACCCATGAATGTCTTTTTTTTCTGTAGTGCTTTTTTTTTTAGAAATGCTTCTCTGGTACTCTTGCAAACAGGTGCTCTCCTCGGCATCTGACAAAGTGGTAGAAATCAGTTTGAGAATTTGAATAATTGTTTTCTAGTACCTGCTGAAAATGTTTTGCTTTAGTGCAAAGGTGCTGTGATATTATGATCAGATGCTAAATCTGCAATAAATTTCATGAGATGTTACCAAGCCAATATGAGGCCTGAGAGACCTTGTGAGCGTCTTTCTAAAAATTTTTGTTACTCGAAAATCCTGTCATTAGATTCAACATTGTTCATGAGCCAGAACGACATGATGCATTCCCTTGAACCAGGCCCTGAATAAGCTCTTTCTGTAGCTCAAAGCATAGTGGTTTCTAACAAGTACAGGAATTTTGGCCCCGATCACACCAGTTAAAGCACTCACTGGTTATTTCTAGAACTCATTGTGTAAATTCTGAAGTTTTTAATAGCTGTAGATTAGCCTGAAAAATTATTTTTATTTCCATGTTTAATAACTGTGGAGATGCACAATAGTTCAGTTGTATGAGATTCTGTGCATTTACAGGTGTTAAAAGCAGTGTAAAAGAGCAGTTTGTTCCTTAACCTTTGTAACACTGCATGTAAGCCTGGAAAACACTACTCTTGATTCCTTACATCATGGATATAAGCTCATGGGCTGCAGACTTCAGAAATGCTTTTGTATAGGTTTCTATGCAGGTTTTTATGGGTTTTTTTGTTTGTTCGCTTGTTTGAGGGTTTTCTGAGTGGTTTTTTTTTTTTCTTTTTCTTGTAGTTTTTTTGTGGTTGGTGGTGTGTCCCCCTTCCCCTGTCCCCAGTAAGTCACCTGGCATGCCTGGTCATGCAGACCTCTTGCCAGAAATGCAGCTTTAATATATTCAGTTTCCCTGAGAAACAGGTTTCCTTAAGTCAGCTGCAGGTAAGTGAAGATGATAGCTCTTGGGTGTTTAATTTTATTTTACTTGTGATAGAAAAAAAAAAGCTGTTAAATCACTGTACGTTTGTTTCAGAGTAACTGTAAGAACATACCCTGTACGGTGAAAATTAACAAAGTATGCATAATAATAAATAACATGACCATATTGCTTGGATCCTGCATGGGGAGGTTGTGCTAAGAGTGTACTGGATACAGCAGGAAAACTCTCATATATTATGATCAAAATATTTAATAAATTGGGCATTGATTCTTAAGAACCAGATGAGAAGAGTGGAAACAAGGTACTACTGTGGATACAAAGAAATGAGTGCCTACAAAAAAGAGAATTCAGGCTGGTCATAGAGTACTGAAAAGGTAAAAGAGTCAATTATTGATTTTTCTTATCGAAGGGCTAAAAAACTGTTATGCTGAGGAATATATGGATAAAGGCAAAAGGTCTGCCCCGAGAAGGTCGGAATGGAGCTGTATTGCCAAGTGGCAGCGCAGGCGCCACTGGGAGCGGGGCCTGTGCCCGGAGCCGGGTCTCCCCGAGACCAGGGGTGAGGCGGGGGCTTTCGGCGTCTCGGCGCTCGGGCCCGTGTTTGCTGACCGAAAGGCAGGAAGGATATTTTTGTGTTGGAGTCGTAGGCAATAAAGAAGAAAACTGAAATTCGTTGACTCTTTGGCTTTAATTGAAGGTGTGTAAGTTACTGGGGAAGTGGATGAAAGGTGTCTGCACGCCGAGAGATCCGCCCCGTTCCGTCGGTGGAAGAGGGGCGTACCGGGGCACGGCGAGG